ATATATATATATATATATAATCATATATATTATATATATATATATACATATTATATAATATATATATATATAATATATATATATAATATATATATATATATATATATAACATATATATATATATATATTATATATATATATATATATATATATATATATACACATATATATACATATATATATACATATATATATATATATATACACATATATATACATATATATATACATATATATATCTATATATCATATATATATAGATATAAATATACATAAGTGTATATACATATATATGTATGTATACATATATATGTATGTGTACATATATGTATGTATACATATATATGTATGCATACATATATATGTATGTATACATATATATGTTTGTATACATTTATATGTATGTATACATATATATGATATGCAATACATACTTAACCTCTTGCTCCAGGGTGGCATGTACATACATTCCATGACTCTTGTGAACAAAATAGTGGGTGGCATCATATCACGACCATTCATTGGTTCATTAGAGGGAGCTTATTTTACTCTGAGAGTAGTGGCTTCACTTGTATGGTAAAGCTTTTAGGCAATATCACTTAAAGTGAAGGTAAACCTTCAGAAGCTTTATTTCATAAAAATTGTATCAAAATAAAAGCTTTCAGGTGCCAAATGTCACTTGCAAACTTCCGGACGAGCCAAGCACAAACAGGGTAAACTGTCAATGCATGCCAACCACCCCAGGATCAAGTCCACTTCCCAAACTTTTTTACCCTGGGTTACTGGGTTAAATATATATAATGCATTGACCTGCATCAATAAATCAGCCTTCTCTGATAATGATATAATAAATAAACTCTCAGTAAATGCAAAATTCTTTGTGCTCACTGCCATCATCTCCATCAATCATGGAATAAAAATCTTCCTAATATCAAATACTTTAAATTAGTAGTTGTGAGTTCAGAATAAAAATGCCAAACCTAGAGGCATGCTGATTAACAACTGAAAAAAGCTGCACTAAACAGAAAGGAAACAAGTACCATGCAAAAAAAATATATAAAAAGTAAAACACACATAACTAAATGTTATTTTGATCTCCATAAAGCTTTCGCTTCAGCTTTGGATGCTTGAGACATTTATGCATTGTGTCAGATTTATCCATCTTTGTGTTGTTTTCCATTCTTCTGATCCTATTACTTTAACTCTTTGGTGTAGTTTTTCTTTATATATAAATGGCTCTACAAGCACACAGACACCAAGATTCAACTATTAAGCCTACCTGACCTCACCTGATTTTCTCATGCCTTGAATTTTTGAAAGGAAAGTTTTTCTGATGCTATTTATCATTATTGTCATTACCAACATAATAATATAATATCATTAATTGAGATCAGGTATGACTAGCAATTGATTTCCTGGCATCTATGTGTATGCAAAATTGATGAATCAAAATCACAGTGAACACAGTATGTATGTACAGGCAGCGACAAATGAAAGGTCAACTGCTATAGCATCTTCTTCCTTTGCAGGAGTTCTCCACCCCTGGTAAGTGAGGTTGCTACTGCTGCTGCTGCTGTCATGCAGCTGGCATGCCTTGTAGCTCATAATCATTAATACAGTTAGCAATGCTAAGGTCAGGACAGGAATCTGACAAGTATAACTCATTACAAACACAGAAACTGTGCCAAAGAGTAAAAATGTAATATCTATGGAATAATCATCAGGTGTTATACCCTCTACACACTCACTGTCAAGGCATCCAGAAACTAAAATAAAATACAATCTTTTACTTTACAAAGTATTCTATATTAAAATAGTTGACATAACTGTATCATATATTGTTGTATTTTCATTCCAATTAATATGCTGATGCAGAATTTTGGGCTGTGCAAAACAAACTTAATAGTATACTTTCTCATCTCCTTTGCACCTTTTAAATCCCTATGATGTCCCCAGTTCTTCCTCCACTAAACTCTCATATATGATATAGTCACAGCGAATGAAAACATTCTCATCACCAACAATATCTGAAAACCAAACATCGTAAATCTACAAGTGTTTACTGTCAGTCTCTCTTTCACTGTTCTTATCCCCTCAATGTTGGGTATAGCTATAACCATCATGATGCAATGATGCATGACATGTATACACATTATAACTCACTCTAGCAAGCGAGCAGGTAGGCCAACTGTAAATAGCACAAACCCACAATGATTACTTCACAGAAAATTCTGGTCCATTATAATAGGGTCATAATAATCAAGAACTCTACAATCACTAACTTTGTAGAATAACTATTTATGCTCATTATATAAAAAGGGTCACTTTCCAGCCCTATATTTGTATGTGTGGAACTAAGTTCTGCTCTTTAATAAGTTTCACATGAAAAAACCTTCAACAGCTCACCTTACATCCTGCTGTATGCTGTATTCAATATGTTACTTTATTCTGTCTGATAGTAAACTTCACAATGCTTCATTTCTTATTTTCCAAAAACATCATAGAATGGCCACGCAGATCATAAAATTTCATTTCCATTTTTAAATCAAAGCACTCTGAGAAATTTTAATCCCTTTCTAAGATAAACAAAATGCTTTCAATAATACATCAAGTGTTTAGATGTACTACATGTTCAAAGAAATCACAAGACCTATCAATTATTCTAAAATTTCTACATTTTTCCATTCTATGCAGTTCCTGCTTGTTTGTCTCTAACTATGTTGGTCAGATTTTTAAGCCAGCTGTTATTATATATAATTATTCCATGATTACTGTAGTGGTTCCTAGCAACCTCACTTCACACACTGTTACCAGATGTAGAGAACACCTGTGAGGGCTCATGTTGAATATGATGCATACTTTTCATTTGACCCAGACTATACATGCCCTCACAGAGCCAACACATTAATATATATGCTTAAAAGAGATCTTTCAGTTATATCACTATCCATGTGCTGTATACAAATAAGCTTGCTTGAAACGTTTACCTGTATCTATTAGTTTTATTTTTTCTATACTACCATGATGCCCACTTAGCTCTATATGAAAACATAGCAACAGGATACAATTACTGTAATATCTAACATCAATAAATGATTATGCAATATCTCCAAAGTTAAAGGAAAAATCCAACAGTCTCTTCAACTAATATATGAGGAATAAAAATAACAATACTCTATATTTATTCCTAATTCACAAAATAAAAGCAGCCCTACCTTTATGTAGCTGGAAAAGGATGCGGACAATACAGTCATAGAGGCACGAGGAATCCTGAATACTTGGGATCAGAGGTGCCAAGCGGCACTGTCCAGAACGAGTCATGGAGTTTGCCCTGGATGGGTCCATGGAACTGAATACTGGAAGGGTGACAAATAAGCAATTTAGGGTAGAGCTTAAAATACACTACTATCAACTTGTTAAAACTATATGTTATCCTACACATCAATGATTGAGAATAAGACATAGTGCTGCAATGAATCTCACAAACAATATAAATAAAGTTAAAAAACCTTCTTTCACATATCAGATTTCTTTATACATAAGGTTCAAAAACAAATTAAAAACTGAAAATTCACATACCTGCTTCATACAGATTTAAAATGCATTCCATATACTCCAGCATCTCAACTGCCAATTCAAAACTGAAAAAAAAATAATAATATAAATTGAATACCTACATAAATCTTAAATAATGCAGTTTCACAAACCATGAACAGAGGGTGGCTATGGGGTCATCATAATTTTCATCATTATCACGAGCATACAAACCGTACACAGGGGGGGGGGGTTAAGACCAGGCATACACTTTTTTTGATATACATAATGATGATCCGTCAATGGACAAATCAGCAGCCACTATGATTCAAATTTCACGCCATGCCGGTGTTGCTAGCAGGGCTGGCCTCTTTTGCATAGAAGCATTTCTGCCATTTTCTAAACATTAGATGATAAAGAAAGAAGATATAGATAATAGAATTGAACCATACACTGTCATAAACAGAGGAATTTTAGATTACATTTACAGTGCATGCAGTCAGAGTCTGATTCTCTGCATTACTTTTTTGTTTAATGCACTGCATAAAACAATATACAAGAAGTGCATTATTAAGCCAATAATGTAACAACACTCAACAACATAAAATGCACCTGCATTCCTTTATAGAAAATGTGTTAGATGTATGACAAGAAAATGCTATATTGAACCTGTAAACTTCATTTATCTAAAACATAAGCAACTATACATATTGAGTGTGTTTCAGGACTGAAGGTTTAGTCCTTCTATGGGACTTTGGCTCTGCCTTTAGTAATGCCCTGCTGGAAGACCCAGCTGAAGCGACATCGAATGAAATTTCCACCACTAGTCTTTACCAGGATGGTTTAAGTAATTCTTATATTTGATTTATTTGAACATGGGAAAATATCTCAATATTGATTTAAACACTTTTCATCTGCATTAAACCATCTGTAGTCATAAAAAAAAACAAAAATACAGCATACAGTCAAAAATCAGTAGGTTCTTTGTATTATCCTGTTATCTCACTTTTGATTTTAATACAGTGAAAGAGCAATATAACAAGACAGGGTTTTATTTTGAATTCATATAATTTTCTTAGAATCACAAAATAAGAACACATATAGATAGGGAGATCTTGATCCTTTACCATTTTTCGTCCACTAACGTACACTTTTAGAGGGGGGGTTGCTCAAAAGTCTATGCTTTGTAGACTTGTGATAATGATGAAAATTATGGATGACCCCTAAATGATACACCTAAATGATACAAACAATACAATAAAAATTATCAATCTTCTGTTGAGCCTTGATCGTTCTTGGTGTCAACATACAAAGGAGTATATAAAACAAGTTGAAAGTGAAGCAATCCAACAGTGCATTAAGGCAATGATGATAAAAATGATGATGACCATGACCATGACTATGACCATGACAAAGATGATGATGATGATGGTGGTGATAATAGTGATTAAGAATAAGAGACACAGATGATGGTGATGTTGATGCTGATGTTGACAATCGTGATGACAATTACATTAAAAGTAATGATGATACCAATGGCAAGTAAAAATGGTAACAATGGCAATGGCACTGGCAATGGCAAAGATTATGATAATGATAATGATAATTATATTAATAATAATAATACAATAACAATTATAATAACAATAATAACAATAACAATAACAATAACCATAATGATAATAATAATGATAATAATGATAAACAAAAACAATAGCAATAACAATAAAAATAATACTATCAATAACAATAACAATAAAAATAATACTATTAATAACAATAACAATAATAGCAATGATAATGACGATGATAATAAAAATGATATAATAACAATAAAACTAATAACAATCATCATCATCAACATCGTGGAGAGGCCTTCAAGAGCTAAGGCTTGAGTAGTAAGGTGAAGTCAAATCCAGTTGACAAATACCATGCTTAACTAGAAGCACTCAAAGGACACAAACCTCCACCAAGGCAACAGTGGTAACAAAAGCAATCATTTAAAAAATTCATGGATCTAATTCATGGATCTAGATCATGATCAAGATCACCACCAAAATTTAATGGCATCTAAGTTAGGCTAAGTAAGACACACCTCTAGTAAATATGTCATAAAAATCTGTTCATAACTACTTGAGTTATCCTGCTAACCAATGCACAAACAAACAAATAAACTAACTAACAAAGTAGCAAAACTAGTTACTATTAAACTAACTACCCATCGCTACCAAAAACCTTGGCAGAGGTAATAAATCTGATTGCTTATGGGCTGCTTAACCTATTCTTAACTGAGCGCTCCCCAAATGTACACATGCATTTCCACAAAATACCAACCTGACCACTACATTTCCAGTGGCGTGAGGGGTACTGTATTTTGTTGCAGCCAAACTATTCATTCTTTGCTCTTTTTTCATATACTACTGCACATATAAACCCACATGATATTATTATCCAAAAAATTAACTAACTCCATAAATCTGTTTCCATATTCTATTTTGTACTAATACCCAAGTAACTATTGGACAAATTTGCTTGAAAAAAATATCATGCACAGAAGCTTGCCACATAGGTGGTGACTGAGAAGCGTGTCACTGATATTATGTCTTCACTAATTTCCCTCTCCTACTCTCGAGACCTCATCACTCATATCAATATCACTATCTTATCCCAAGCTGTCACCCTTACTGTATTCCAATGGCGTATCAGACCATGTATCACTGTCATCTGGCCTTACCAAATTAGGGGTACAAGGCATAAAATCATTCTTATTACAAGAATTTGCCCATGATATCACAGGAGTAAAATATCCTATGCACCACATTGCACAGATTAACCCATTAACACCAGTATATTTTGAAGCCCAAAATAATATTTTACGGGCGGCCACAAAATTGGCGCGTGGGCCAATTCCGGGGCGGCCCGCAACATATTCAGAGCGCGAGCTCCAATCCAACGTCACACTGGTTGGTCGACCGGCAATGTTTATTTTTCCGGGTGTCTCATATATGGGACACCCATTGTAAATGGGTTAAGGGGGCTGTCGCACTCAAGAATGAAGTTCATCAATTATTATCAGATTTTTGCGATTTTTAAATATGTTACAAATACATATACTGAGATTACATCACCAAGTTTCATAACATTTGGATAATAAGCAATGAAGTATTAATAAAAAAAAGTTTTTGAAAAATCAAATAGCTTTATAATTTGCACTTATCCATTGACTGAACATGTTGAAAAATATACCACAAATATTCTATACCAATACCTAAATAATAAACAGACAATTATGGAATTCCCTCTTAGTTAACCCACTAACGCCTGTATATTTTGAAGCCGAAAATAAAGTTTCCGGTCGACTACAAAATCGGCGCACGGGACTAGCCCGGACTCTGCCCGCGCATCAGCTGCAGCCCACTTCTGAGCAGAGCCCCGATACGGTATCACACTGGCAGGACGCCGGGCAATTTTTTTTTCCAGGTGTCTCATATGTGGGACTGGATTAAGTAGGAAAATCTTCTTTTTTTTAATTGTTACAAATATAAAATGCAATATATGGACTTCTATCACCTGAAATGAAAATCCCTTCGTTTAAAAAATCATAAATTTATTCAGCTTTCAAATGATCCAAAAAACATTAGAATCGAGAATGGAGAAATATAAAATATAAAATAATGACAGAGGTGTGCTTTTGAGATATCGGGCTTTGAAGTTGAAGATACTTTTTCCTGCATTTTATTTTTTTTTTTTTTTTTTTTTTTTTTTTTTTTATCTCTGCGTCAATCTTGATCAAATGGTACTCTGAAGTGCAGCTGGTACCTGGTCCGCCCCTTTTGCAAGAGATTAATCGCACTGACTGTGCATGGTTGTCAAAGTGCAGCCCTGTCATCACAGGCTTTGCAGTGCCTTTACAGTATCTTGTGAGGCATTTCATACAAATAAACAACTGCTGCAACTGTGATTATGTGATGTATTTCTCATCATAAGGTTTATTAGTTACAACCACAACATCTATTATTAGTTGTGTCCTCTTAGTGTGCGATGAGGGCACATCACGGGTATGTCTATGTGATGGTGTTGAGGAGGTAGGCAATGCACAACCTCTCTCTGACTCCCTTGTGGTGATTGCCAGCATTCTCTGCTACTTGTGGCTTCCTGTTGGTACAGTATGCAGAGCTGCCAGCTAGCTTTTACAAGAGAATACCAAAATAAACAAAATTATGGAAAAAAAACTTGGTCAAGTATATTTGCATGAACATGATACAGCAGTGATCAGATGGGGAGCGGAGGGGGGGTCAGAGAATTAGTCATAACTCCTTTATTTTTACGTATTTAGCAGAAATATTGTCACAGGATTGCAAAGCCTACTAGATTATAGGAGATTTTTTCAACTTCTCAAGTATCTTTGAAAATATTCATCGAAAATTCAGTGCAACAGCGTGGTGAAACATATTTTCATAGGTGTAATCATTGCCATATGTCTTCAAAAATTATCGTGCATGTAGAAATAAAAACCCCATCCAGATAGGGAGCAAACCATGGTGCTAGTGTTATGATGTGTTATGAAGTTACACACTCTCCAGACTTTGTTACTGGTTTACTGTCAACACCCAGATGTGGTGCCATCACAAAATCCTCAGAAACAGGGTTACCAGTGTACATCACTAGCAGTTCTGATGTAGCATGCTGCTTTCATGTGATGTATGGTTATACATCAAAATACATTTTTAGTAAAGAAGGGGTTAACTGGCACAATAATCAGCTTAACTCAGTTAACCTCCAGTTGATAGATCCTACAATATTACATGCAGGGAGATGAAGTGTCCTCAAATATTACAGACTGAGTTTTAGAGGACAAATATAAGTCTTGGTAGGATATTAATTACAAAGACATAACACTACATGTAGATTTTAACCCGTTGGATCTGATTGTGTCACAGAAATCACAGTGCTGAAATTACAGGCAGTGGGTTACATAAGTAGGCAACATCAAGGGCTTCCAGTGCGTATGCTGGGCGCACGAGAACACCCATGAACTGTGACCAGACTCTGTGGCTCCCTTTTGCAAAGTTATTTTGAGTAAACTTTTTTAGCCTTTTTGCCTTTTTCCAATATCCATATTTGTCTTTTGTTCTGCTTTATCCAGATAATAATAGCTTATTTTCCTTGCACAGACTCCATATCATCTTTCTATGTAGTAAATAACTCAGTGCAAGAATAAAATAGTATGGATCATTTGGTTATTTGTGTCATATATCTTATTTTTTTGTAATTTTCAAATTTCCATAATACAACCTGCACCACCAGTCACAAGAATACGGTGCGCAGCATGGAAATGGCATCCTCCTTTGAGCCAGCGCTCTTCCAAGCACAGCTTACACACCTTACATTCCACATTCGTTTAACAATGGGAATTATGCTAAAGCCCCCTTCTAGACGCAAAATGAGTCAAATCACACTCCAAGAGGTTTGAGTATTCTTGGCCATGGCTTGTCTTTTCCATCACCCTAGTCTTCACTCATGACAGCAAATTTTTCAATAATGGGACCATAACATCATCTGGATCTTAAGGCTTAAACTTGGCAAACTGAATGATAATCATCACATATGGGGAATATGGGCAGCCGATCCCATGAAGCAACAGGCAGCCACACAGCCTGGGAGCTAAGCAGGCCAGGGGATATCAGCCGCCAAGCTAGTGTCCCCCTAGCGGCTTTCCAGGACCCATACCTGATGCCCTGGGCCTGCACAGGCAATGGGATGTTGCTTGCCAAAAGAGAATACTATCTGTGCGTGCTAAAACTAGGCCCTCCCACTCTTCCTGAGCGTATTTACATATACTTGCATGCTTGCATATATTTGCAAGGCTTTATATATACATTCACAAACATATATGTGTTCATATATACATATACAAACGCATGTTCATGAAAGGAGGGAAAACAGCACTGCCACAGCGCGCACTCTCCAGCATAGTCCCATGCACCACCTAGGTCCAAAATAAATAATGCTACAGATTGATGCGCTATATTGCAAAGTATTGCAGCCAATGGGCTAACATTCATCAATTCCCATACATGCCAAGTAATTGAAAATGCATACATTTTCTGTCTTTCTGTATCATCTGTTAATTCAAATCCATCCAGCAGTTTAGACCAACTTTCTTTCTTCATAGGAGAGACTTTTCTAAAATCTCTCATCATCTTTCTTAGTCCTGCAAATCTAACGTAATCATGTTTTGCATTTATTATTAACTTCTCTAAATCTCTCCTACACATCCCTTTCTCTTTTTCCTATCCACTCATTAATTTGCTGACTTAAACATTCAATAGAATTCAGAAAGTATAAATGGGAAAAGTGTCCACAGCTTTTCATCATTCCCAAATAAATACTGTCTAAAAATGTGATCAGAGATCCCAGAATATGCCTTAGAGAACAATTCATAAATATTTTTGCATTATACATTAATCCTTTACATTATTTGTATAAGATGAATATGTCAATAAATCATCTAAGTCTAAGACATTACAGTTCAACAGTATAAAGGATAAAACATCTGTACAGTCATGACACAAACTATAATTAAAAATAACAACTCATTCACTCACTAATTGTTGGCATCATTTTCTGCTAAAGCTTCAAGTTCTTCTGGGGTGACAGTGAGGGCACCAGGGAACCGAGGGTAACGCTGGTGGAAGTTTAACTTGGTCACCAGCAGGTCACAATAAAACCTGATCAATCGTCCATAACCATGTGTTAAATGGCGCTGGGGAAAAAATAATCAATAACAGTAATATCAGTAATATTACATTAATCATCATTGTCATCAATATCATATCTATCTTAATGTGTTGATACCAGGAGTGCAAGTATACACACACTGTTTGATATGGTTTCGTTTTATGAACTTCTTTATAAAAAGATGGCAATAGAAGTGTTTAGTCATCTAAAGGTTACTCACAATTCACCCATTCCTTGACTATTCAGTGAGAAAGGTTTATATCTATGGTACTATTGTATTGTACTACTGTAAGTTACAGGCATACATGCACTGCCAGCATCAACTGGTTAACCCATTGAACCCGGATGACGTTGCGGTCATGTCATGGAAAAACTTGAGCCAAGGAGCAGATGATGTCAATTGGGCAAATTGGCCACAGCCCGGGTGACACGACTTGCCGTCATGTGCGAAGGCCAGGTTGACGGAAAAGACTCTCACCATGAGTGCACAACCCTCTTGGAGTGTGATCTGACTCATTTGGTGCTTAAAAGGGGTCTTCAGCATTATTCCCATCGATAAACAAAAGTGGAATGTAACATGCGTAAGCTGTGACTCAAAGAGCGCCGGCTCTAGGGAGGATGTTATTTCCATGATCCACATCGAATTCCTGGCCACTGTGACCGGCGGTGCAAGTTGTATTACATAAAATTGAAAATTACGAAAAAATGAGATATATGACAAAAATAACCAATTGTTCATTTTTTGTTGTTGTTGTTGTTGCAGTGAGTTATTCACTACATAGAGAGATGTTATGGAGTCTGCGCAAGGAAAATTAGCTATTACCATCTAGATAAAACAAATCAAAAGACAAATATGGACACTGAAAAATGGTGATCAAGCTAAAAAAAGCTTACACAAAATAAATTTGCAAAGGGGAAGCACAGAGTCTTGTCCCCGCTCACGGGTGTTCACACAGGCCCTGCTTACTCGCCACAGACCCAGAATGTTTGCCACTTACGTGACCCATTGCCCAGGTTTTTGGCAGTGTGATTTCCGTGACGCAACCAGATTCTAGGGTTATCATGTAGTTGACTCATAATATTTGTGAGAGTTCCAATGCTGAACACTTCGTGAATGTAATTTTTTTTTAAATACATATGTCTATCACCAATACTTTTATATCAAATCCTGATGCTAACATCCTGCTATTTACAAAAAGGATAACCTCTAAATTTAATCAAACTGAGTAAACATTCAAGGTACGGTGCAAATATATAAACCAAGGTAATATAACTGTGTTATCCTACACTAGGCAATGGTCACTAAAAACTCAAGTTTGAATCACAAAAAAATCCTCATAAAAAAAATTAAGAATATATCATTATTACCATAGTTCATTGCACTAAACACATTTTGTCTCTGGGACATAAGGGTGATAATCTACAAGGGCACCACTGAACTCTATGCTATGTCAGCAGGGTCAGGGGAGGCCAGGGCACTTGTGTGGAACTCATATCACAGTTTAGTACCAAACATGATTGTATAGCACAATGGTAAAGTACTGTAGTGAAAAGAGAAAAAATAAGTTAACAATTAGGATAAAATCTGTTTAGCATCAAAGGATAGAGAGCACTAAAGGATACTATAATAGTGAAAAGGGTAAAGAGGGGGAGCATATGAAGTAAAGCAAAGATTAGTAAAAAAGCAAAGGGTGTAGGCTATTGGGTAAATGGATAAAATGGAGAGTATCAGTGTCTGAGGAAGGAAGAGAAACATTGTATAAGAAAACTGGCAAAGGAGCCATTATTAACCCATTAATACTGGTATATTTTGAAGCCAAAAATAAAAGATTCTGGGCGGCTACAAAATCGGCGGGCAGGGCTGCCCCGGACTCTGCCCACCCGCCCATCGTGGCCCGCTGCTGCATCAGAGTGCGAGCCCAGGCAATGTTTATTTTTTCGGGTGTCTCATATGTGGGACACCTGTCGTAAGTGGGTTAAACAATCAAAGGGTAATACGGATGGAGGAGGATGGATATCACCAAATACTTTAAATGTTGAGCAAATAGGATTAGAGGGATTGGAGGGCGGATGAGGGAGCAGCGCTTTCTCTTGGGTCGTTCAGATAGTTTTGGATGTCTTCAAGAGTTGAGTGGGGAGTTGGGTGGGGAGGTCAGAGAAACAAAGGTTTTCTTGTGAGGAGGAGAAGAGGGATGTCCAAGGAGCAGTGGAAGAGGTGGGTGTAGGAGAGAATGTGGTACGTGAAGGTAAGGTGGAACTTTTAGATTGCCCAGTGCAACAAGTAAATTGAGGAGGAGGAAGGGTAGGCATTAGGAAAATGGTAGAAATTGCAGTATCTGGATTTAGACTGGAAAAGGAATTTAACTGAGGGGAGACAGAGAGTAGAGGTAGGATGGTCTGCAGTACAGGGAAGAGATAATGGGGAAGATGCTGAGACATCTTGAGAAGATGGGAAAGGAGCAGAGAGAAGAAATTTTGGAATAGGTTGAAAAAACAAAACCTTGTCAGAGTGATTCCTGTCTGGTCTTATATAGAGTGAGGCTTAGTTTAAATCTGAGGACTGCTACCTCAGACTACAGCTTGTAGGTTGGATAGTTCATATAAAATATAGTATGGGAGCCACCATAATTGGTACACATACATGGTTGAGCAGAGCAATGTGAATGGTCATGACCAGGTTAGGCATGGAGAGTCTGACATAAATAGAGAAAAGAAACAGTCTACCCCTCAAGTTCTCCATAAGGGGTAAGGGCTAAGCTATTAACCAAGTGAATACCAGAGGCCATTCAGGACTGACACAAAGCCAGCCTTTCATCCTTTCAGTTTGACTCTCACATGAAGAAGACAAGGAAAAGGAAAGGGGTAGAAGCAAAGGCCATGAAAAATTCATTAAGTCGAGGGCTGAGGTCCAGGATAAGGGGGATTTCTTACATCGGGCCTTAGTCTCCATACTTTAAGCCCCACCCCCCTCCACAACAAGAAGAAGCAAGGAATAGGGGGCAGTGACGAGAGAAACATTGCACTCATCATATGAGGGACTTCATCTATATACATAAGTAAGCTCTGTTAGATGTGTAGTTACTTCTTGTATTTTCAATGACCATTTGAAGTAATACTGACAGAGACTGAATCTTAGAAGAGTGAAGTCATACAAAAAATTGGAAGTATTATATTTCCTCAAACACAGTCCCTCTGGAGAGAGTAGAACAAAAATCTGTTATCTAGTGGCCTACAAGTGAATACACTTACAGTATATTCAACTTATTATCATATCTATTCAAGGGAGTATTAACCCTTTTGATCCAGGTGACATGACCATCACGTCATGAAAAAATTTAGGTTGAGGGCAGGGTGATATGAACATGCCGTTATGGAGCAAAATGGCCGTGGGCCAGGTGATGCGAACTTGCTCTCAGGACCAAAGACCAGGGTGAGAGAAAATACTCACCTAAAGTGCACAAACTAGACTCATATAGCATTTAGAAGAGGGATTTTGCATTATTCCCATTTATAAATAGTATGGAATGTAATGTCCATAAGCCATGACTGGAAGAGCACTGGCTCCAGGAAGGACGACAGTTCCATCCTCAGCATTTTATTCCTGGCTGCATGGCACAGGTTGTGTTACAGAAAATTGAATAATATGAAAAATTAAATACGACACAAAAACGAAATACTAAATTCTTTTTTTTCTTGCACTATGATATTTACTACATGGATTCAGTGCAAGGAAAACAGTCTATTACCATCTGTATAAAGCAAATCAAAAGACAAATATAGACATTGGTTTGGTTTGTTTGGTTTGTTTTTGTTTTTTGCTTCACTTTGGATTTTCAGTTACATGCAAACAAAAAATAATAAAAATTAGTATCATCAAGATTAAAGGATGAAATTGACAAGACTTAGGTACCAGTTACATAAAGGAAAATGCATAGAAAAGGAATATGCAAACCTGTCAATTCATCACGTGTACTTCCTTTGGCTTTCAATGGACAATATAAATAAAGAAAACCCTCTGTATCAGACCAACCATATTCATCTAGCTAGCTAACTTAGCAATAATAAATATACAAATACAACAGCACAGTTCCTAGGACATCCACAATGATGTACACACCAAATTGATTTATATTCAATTTGGTGCAAATATAATCATGAATGTTATCATCCCTCAGCAATGGTATAGAGGATAGTCCTTAGACACAAAGACACTTACTTATCCACAGGATATGTAAATATTTTTTATTACAACTGAATGCATTTTCTTTTTTCTTGTATCTTTTTGTAAATGGTTTCCCAACTATCTCTCATCCCCTTAAAAGCTGTCATGACCACAGGTAAGTAAATAATTTTTTAAAAATATATCAATGACTGAACTGAACTTACAAAATGCTGTCCTGTGTCTTTAATTCTGTTTACATGACGCTGTGAGTCTCGTAGGACATTGGGATGACCATCGCGGAAGACAACATGAAGGCAGTGGCAGAATTTCCAGGCTGTAACATCAGTGTTTATTGGAGGATTGAGAGCCACATTTCGCCAAAACAGGTCTGCACTCTTATCGGTGAAGGTTCCAATGATGAGATTCCTCACATGTTTCATCTTAACAGGGACCTCTTCATCATTTACAGCCTTGCGGAAGCTGGCCTCCTTAAAGGAAATAAAATTATTTATCGTTAGGCTTATCTGAAATGGGATCAGCTAAGAAGAAAATACAAAAAAGCTATGCTAAAAAACATTCTAATATATACCCTCTACAGCTAAAAGTTGTTGAGGAGAAATACAAAAAAATGATTTCTCAAACACTAAATCAGATGTATTTGATCATCATATATATTTTCATAAACCATATATCTGCATTTCATTTTTATTCAGTAATGCAGGCCTTTATCTATATAGTATGTTCATATACCTTTTCTTATGCATATAACACAAGTAAAGATGACCTTTATATTGACTACTTTAATATCAAATGGAAGACTACTATTCTTATCATCTAATTATTCAATACAAATCCTATCTAATCAATCTTAAACTCTACCTGTACAGAATTTTTTCTCTCAAAAAAAAAGCAGCAAGACCTTGGGTCTAGGTTTCACTATTCAGACAGCCCTAAATAGTGAGCTACCTCTAACTACCAACTGCCCAGTCGACAATTCTGGGTACATTAAAATTACACCTCTCCAAGCCTGGTATCTGAGCCTGGCTTAATGCATTCTAAGGGGGCCGTCGCACTCAAGAACGAAATTTGTTAATTAAGATCAGATTTTCGCAATTTTTTAATGTGTTATTTGTAAATATACTATAATTTACACCACCAAGTTTCATGTCAATTGGATAAAAAACAATGAAGTTATTTTTAAAACACAAGATTTTGAAAATTGGAAAAAAATATAAAAATCTTACTTATCCATTGACTGAACTTGTTTAAAATATGCCACATATAAACTATAGCAATACCTAAATTTGTAATGATTCAGATTTTGAAATTTCCTCTTAGTTTAGTGGATTTTTTTTTTTTTTTATTCATTGTTAATCATATAACATGATATATGGACTTTTATCACCTGAAATGAAAATCAGCATCATTGCAAAAATTGCAAATTTACTCACCTTTCAAATGATCCAAACCCCATTAAAATCACCCAAGTAGTTATGAAGATTTTTAAAAGAATGTTGACAAAGGTGTCAGTTTTGAGATATTGGGCTTTGAAGTTGAGGATTTATTTTCCTCCATTGTCATTTCTTTTTTTAGAAATCTGATATCTGCATCAATCTTGATGCATTCTATGGCATTCACATGTATTCTGAAGTGTAACTGGTACCTGGTCCCCCCCCCCCTTTTGCAAGGTACTAATGGATTGTAGAACTACCGCATGTTACCATAGGCTTCACATTGCTTCGTGAGGCATTTCATGCAAATAAACAACTGCTACAGCTGTGATTTAGATGTATTTCTCATCATATTATGTTTATTAGTTACAGGAATAACATTTATCATTAGTAGTGTCCTACTATTGTGTGATGAGGGCGCATCAGGAATGGTGTTGTGCTGAAGCATGGGACACACAACCTGTCACTCTGGCTCTCTCGTGGTGACTAACCACCTTGTCTCTTTGTCGTGGCTGTCAGCTGTGCCGTAAGCAGAATTACCAGGTAGCTACCAGAGAATACCAAAATAAATTTTTAAAAACCCAAATGAGTATATTTGCATGGACACGACAAAGTAAATATTGGAGCAGGAGGCAGGGTGGGTCAGAGATTTAGTCATAACTCTTTTATTTTTATGTATTTAGCAGATATATTACATCACGAGATTGCCAAAGCCTACTAGATTACAGATTTTTTTCATCTCATTGCCCACAAAATAGTAGAAGGATCTGGCAAAGAACATTAGGTCAGGGTCGTCTAGTTTCACAGACAGCAAGCTTAAGCCTTGGGAAAAGGGAAATAACACCAAACTTGAGTCTGGTTCCAGAATCAGATTATGACATTGGATACTCAGGTTTAATGGAAAAATAAGCATCTTTTTTTGGAAAATGTACATGGTACATTTCAGTATGAAATCCATATTGAATCCAAATAAATTCATCTGCATGAAAATATCATACCAACAAAATAATACTTATCCTGTTAACCCAATGCCCCAGAAGAATTGTGTGTTCTTGTAGTATTGTTCTGTGAAATGACTCTACACACAGAGTTAATTAGTAGAAATTGTGATCTCCCCTGATTTTGCCTTTTCTTGAGTATGCGGGAAAAAACTTTTTTTACTAATGCTATCAATATTGATACTTTTATTTTCATTATAGACATCATAATTACTACAGTGTTATTGACATTACTAAAAGCACCATTAGATACCAGAAAATATTTTTGAAAATCACGAAAGACGGTCAATACGTGAGACAGGTGGTAATTAGCTCATTTGTGACTTATTACTTGTGGAGCCATCTATGTGCAAGACCAATTACTAAATCAAACACACAGTGGGCATGGCATGTACACATATGCCATCCCTGGTGGCATGGGTTAAGATATAGGATATACATTATTCCCTTTACCCTATAAAATGTATGGTAATTTTTACAGTACAGATTCACTCACTAGACACAAGGTCCCTAACTTCACTTCACAAAATTTATTCAGTGGTATGCGTGGCAAGATAGAGATGAAACTCGGAAGCACAACATTTTCTGCAGTCTTTTACCTTCATTTGTGGCTGCATATTATTTCTTGTACCAATGACTGCAACTTTGTGTCCTCTACATGAATATCATATTTAATTTGCCCTAACTTAGTGTATCAATAATGTAAAGACTAACCAAATATATGACTATTTCACTTTGTTCAAAAAGTAGAGTTCAAATAGAAGGCAAGAAAAAATAAGGCTAAAATACTAGTTTGGTTAAAGTATTTGAAAACAGAAAGAAGTATTCAAACTTTCTCATTACATGATGCTTGCAACTTCTGACTGGATAAGTCCAAAATTGGAAAAGAGGTCTAGCACATGTCACATTCCAAAAGGTAGGAACAAATGTTGGCAATACTAACTAAGGCGGCAGCACTACATATACCAAGGAAAGTATAATAGGATTATTGACTAGTGGGAGAGGGAGAGGGAGAGAAGGAGAGGGAGGGAGAAGGGAGAGAAGAGAGAGGGGAGAGAAGAGAGAGAGGGAGAGAAGAGAAGAGGGAGAGAAAGAAGAGAGGGAGAGA